TAGTGCCACTTGTGATAGGCCCAAACTTGTGATCCTGAGTTTGCTTAATGTCCCACTTTCTTTGCATTTTATGTTAATGAAACCAGGAAACATATTCTTCTGTGACCTGTCCTTTTACAATAATATGCTTATGAGATTCACCTATGTTGCTGTATACAAGTCTTTATTCATTTTTTTCAACACTGTATAGTATTTCAGTGCTGTATAGCATTCCATAATACCTTTACCCAGTTTTTTGTTTTGTTTTGGTTTTGGTTTTTTGAGACAGGGTCTCACTGTGTAGGTGAGACTGACCTGGAACTCACTATGTAGCCCAGGCTGGTCTCGAACTCACAGCAACCCCCTGCCTCAGCCTCCCAAGTGCTGGGATTACAGGTGTGCACCACCATGCCTGGCTTACCCAGTTTTTTACTGATGGTCATTTGCATTGTTCCCTATGCTTAGCTGTTACGAACATAAACAGATGTCTCCCTTGGGACCATATCTCAGATTCTAATGTCTGAAGTAAAGGCATTGTCAATCTTGCTGTTTCCAAAGTGGTTGTAAATTTTGACAGTAGCTCTAATATTTCCCTTCTCTGTATCTTCATATCTTATTCTGTTTTGTACTGCTTTGCTTGTGGTGCTTGGAATTAAACCCAGGGCCTTGCACATGCTAAGCAGTGCTCTCCCTCTAAGCTACATCCCAGCCCTGCTGTGTGAATTTGGATCTCCCCCAGCAGGAGCTGGACTCTGCTGTTCCTCCCTTGCACTGCGCTTGGTCTGGAACACAGTGGATGTAATGTACAGGTGCCAGTTCCAAAACTCTGGACACTGTTGCTTTCCTGGAAATTCTTGCTACACATGAACGAGGCCAAGCTAACTTGCTGGTGGAGGTGATGCTGTGGGGAGCAGAAAAGCAACTGAACCAAGGCCACTAGAATAGTCCCATTTTGCCTCTGTACCAGATTATCAAAACCATAATGAGGGCTGGGGGTTTAGCTCAGTGGTGCTGCCACCTGCCTTGCAAGCACAAAGTCCCGAGTTCGATCACCAGTACCACGCCCCGCCAAACCAAAAAAACCATAATAAGTTCAACAACATCAATACATTATTTTACGATTCTGAAGATGAGTAGTACAGAGTGGGTCTTACTGAGTTAAAGTCAGAGTTGGCACAGCTGTGTCCGTTCTGAGGCTTGAAGGGAGAATCTGTTTCCATCTTTCCCAGGGTACAGAGGCGGCCAGCTCTCCTCGGCTGGTGGCACCCTCTCCACCTTCAGGGTCAGCAGTGTGGCGTCTCCCTGTTTCCTGCTTCGCACTGCCGTCCTCGCCGTCTCTCCATCTCCCACTCCCTGCTTTCCCGCTGAGGTGTCCGCGGGAGTGTGTTGGGCCCATTCATGTTTGCCAGGACGGCCACTGCCAGACGCCCCCCAGGGGACCCCGACCTAAGCCCGTCTGCTCCCTGCAAGACCTCTGCTGATTGATACACACATGGAGTTAGTTTTCCAATTTCTTAATTTGGATCCCAGCTCATTTATACTTTTTTCTTTTTGGGTAGACCATACATGAATATTCCTATAAATTCTGGTAGTAGCAAATCACGCATTTTTATATATAACATTTTTTTGTCATTCAATTCTAAATATTTTCTTATTTCCATTACTAATTAGTCGTTTATTTATTCATTGCTTAAAAGAGTGGTTTTAACATTTTCAAGTGTATTTTATTTAATTAGCATTTTTTTATTTACTCCTAACTTAATTGCAATGACTCAGATAATGTGTTCTGTGTGAGAATCAGTACTTTGAGGTGTACTTAGCATGAGAGCATGTGGAATAGCATGTTGTCAGTTTTCTTAATAATTCCCAGCAGGCTCAGTTACATCCACCTTCAAGAGTTGTATTTTAAATGTAGGTTACTGTTCCCAGCTGTGTTGATAAAAATTCTACATTCTTACTTATTTTCTGTTCACCATCAGAGTCTTAAAATTCTTCTCTATGAAAGTCTGTCAATTTCCTCACAATTATGTCGTTTTGCTTTATAAAATGTCAGGCTTTTTATTGCATGTGTTAATTTTCTATCTTTTGATAAATTGGCTCATGTCATTGTGTAGCAACCCTCTTTACCCTGGGAATATTTTGTTTTAATTTTGTCTTTTCTATGAGGTTTTATTTAGTGAGATTTGTACTGTATACCCTCTCTCACTTCCAATCAATATTTTTACTTCAAAATGTTTTCTGTCATTTGTTTAGAGTAACCTCTTAAAAATGGTATCTGATTTAAAGGAAATTGAAAATTATCTGTCTTTTTATGATAATTGTTTTCATTCATTTAAATGTATGGTCTGGATTCTTTCCTTATATGCTCTTTATTTGTTTTGGCTTCTCTGTGTCAAGACTGCCTAAATCAACAGAAAAAATAAACAGGCTGCTTTTAACAAATAACAGCATTGGGCCAGGGATTTACCTCAGTGGTTCCACCGCCTGCCTCGCAAGCACAAGGACCTGAATTCAATCCCAGGTACCAAAAATAAAAAAGAAACAAATACCAGCAGCTTCCCAGTAACTGAGGCAAATGACTAAAAAGTCTGGTTTACAATCCCCTAGTGCTGAAAATCTCTGTAACTGAATACATATCTGTCCAGACCATCATCGGGTAGCTAAGTCATAGACATGTCAACCCAGATTCCTTAGCCCCTTCAATACCTATATAAACTGAATTCCTTTCCCAGTGAATTGCTAATACCTCTCTCCCCTGGTGTTAGCCCAGCGTCTCAGGGAGGAAATCTCTCCCAACCAGCTGCCACACACTCTCCCTTCCGATGCCAACCATTAAAATCCCCTGACTTTAGTCCCTGTCTCTGTACACTGGAATAAATTTTTCTTTTTCTCACAAGGGAGAGCCTGTCTTTTGTTGACAAGTGGATTCTTTATAATGCTCTTTTTTTTCTTATCTTCCTTCTTTTTGATGATTTGTTTTTGCTTACCCTTCTTGTCTTGTTCCTGGTTACTTCAGTTGTCTTAACCGGCCTGCTTAACAAAGTCATAGGTTCCTGCCACGCCCTCCTCCTAGGGCTCCCAGAATTTAGAACTGTGAGTGGGATCATACTCTTCCTTGCCTGTGCTATTGGACAATACATTTTCTCCTTTAAACTGACAATTTCCACATTTTTCTTGCTTTTATATAGTGTTCCTCAACTATATAATGTTTATTGAGACTTATATACATAGTTTCCAGTGACTTTTCTATTTCTTTATACATTTCAAACTTTCCACCTGGAATAATTTTCCTTCTACCAGAGATGTATCTTTTAAAATTTCCTGATATGGTCTTTCAGCTTTTGCGTTTCATTATAGTTTTTATTTTACCCTCTGCAAAAATCATTTCCTGTGCATAAAGTTCTAAGTTAATAGTAGTTTTTCTCTCAGCACACTGACACTGTTATTACTGTTGCTTTTGGTTGTCATTGATTTAGGGGAAGTTAGCTACCTGTTAATTGCTGTTTCCTTGTCTTTATCTCTGCCTGCTTTAAATATTTTCTGTTTGTATTTACCTCAGGTGGATTCTTTATCTTACTTGTGACTAGTTGCATTTCCCAAGAAATTTGGACAATTCTGAAAAATTATCAACTGTAATCTCTTCCAAATATTTGGCCTTCCACATTTTCTCTATTGAATTCTCAAATTGGAAGTGTGTTAGTCTTTTCCATTTTAACCTCAATGTATCTTAATATCTCCCCCGACTCTGGTACTGGGGAACTTAATCTCTCTTTAATATTGTTAAACCCTGGGTTGCATTTTCTGTAATTTATTTGCACTTATTCTCCAGTTTGCAAGTTCTCCTTCCTGTTGTTTCTAATATGGTGCTTAATTTATATTAAGGGTAGCTCAACCTTTACAATTATAATTATTATATATAATTATTATATATATTATTCCTAGAAGTTCTATTTAATTCTTTTCCAAATTTTCTCATTTCTCAATTCTACTCATTTGAAGTGAACATTGCTGTTTTACTTTCTGCTCATATTTTAGTGTAATTTTTCATGTCTTACAACGTATGAGCTGGGGGTGTGTGAGCCCAGGACCTTTGCACTGAACTACATCCCAACCACAGAGAGTCTCACTAAGGTGTTCAAGCTGGGCTTGAACTTGCAGTCCTCCTGTTTCATCCACCCAGAGTGCTGAGATTACAGGTGCACCCACCATGCCTGTCTAAAGAATGGTTATATTAACATAGTGTCTGAAAATTCAAGGAGCTTCAGTATAAGGCTGCAGTCTTAGTGTTTCTTCTTATTGTTATTTACAGTGCCTTTTTTTCCTGAATGGTTTTATGAGATTTGAGTATGTGCTTCTCATTTGTTTGAAGTTCTTTTGCTGTGTAAATTTTCTGAGGCCTGAGTTGAAACTCAGAGCCTCTGGGAGACACATGCCAACCACAGAGGGTAGTTTTCCAATCACTGAAATATTGTGAAGCCTTCCCTAACCCTGCCTGGAGGATGGCTTTTGTTTAAGAATCCTCAAAGAACTTTCTTACTCTGCCCATTACCACTCTTGTAGTCAAGCCCCATCACTGCTACCTTCTGTAAGGGTTAGCGTTGTCTGTCTGTACTTGTTCTGAGAGCACAGTCTCTGAGGATTCCAGATTTGTAGAGGCTTTTTGGTGCCACTTCCTGCTGAAGTAGGTCCTGGGCAGCTCCTCTTCCCTCTCCCTTACCCAAACAGCTACTGGAGCAGAGTCCCAGAGTCTCAGGAATCAAAAGGTCTGCCTGGGATCCTCCCAGGTTGCAGCTCTCAGAGTGTTCTGGCTTTTGTGTGTTTGTTAGCATTGAAGCTCTCTTGGTGGCCATTCCAGGTGTGGAGGAAGTCATGGAGGGGTTGGATCACCTTTCATTCTCAAGTCAGATTTTGTGTTCACTAGTAGAGAGCCTTTTCTGCTTAACAACTATTGAAACACTGAAAATTATCAATTGAGCTTACCCTAAAGGTCTGAAGATGCCTTCAACATATGACTTTTAATGTCAGCCTGAAGAATTGTGGACTTGGTAGGTTTGCGAAATGGTATAGATGTCTCCCTGCCTCCTGGGTGAGAAGTGGCCCCGGACCACCCCCAGAAGTGGTCGGTAGCGGAGCATGTACAGGTATGGGAGCATGGCACGGGGAAGCATCATGAACACTTCACTGTTGGCTGCCAGGATCCATGAATGAGTGCTAGCACTGATGTGGTGGTACTTGGTCAGCATCACATCCAAGGAGAACACCACCCCTGCACCAACATACAGTGTGATCAGCACCATGTGGATGAGCAGGGTGCCCCTGGCTCGGGAGTAGCCCTGTGCACACACACCGGAAGGCCTGGCCTCGATGTAAATCCTCCAGAAGCAGAAGGTGATGAGAGCTGCACAGAGAAAGAGAACACACAAGGTGCAGGCGTGGGTGATCGTGACGAGGGGGCCGTGATTCTGGTTGGTGTCCAGGCTCAGTGGCAGGGTGCATGAGGCCCCTTGTACCTCCAGCTTGGCATCCTGCTGCTTGGCAAACCAAAGGAGAAACGTAGGGAAGAAGCAGGCCACCAGCCAGATAATGGCCACTGTCTTCCGGGCAGTCTTGCCAGACATGAAGGACATGTAGTACAGAGGATGAGAGACTGCCAGGTAGGCATGCAGCACAGTGGCTGTGAAGGACAAGACGGTGCTGATGTAGACAGCAAAGACACCATCCCTGAGAATACCGCAGACAATGCGGCCCAACTCCAAGCCACCCAGGTTACTGGAGGAGATGAGTGTGTGGAAGAGAATGTAGGCAAGATCCGAGATCAGGATATTGGCCAGGAGCAGGTAGTGGGGCTGGTGACGTAGCTGCTGACTCCGCAGGATGGTCACCAGCAGCAGGGGGCTCAGGGCCAGTGTGGCTGCAGCCAGAAGGCTTGAGGGAAGCAAGAGCCAGCGCAGCACGGAAGTGGGCACTCTCGTGTCCCTGAGGCCCTGGGAGGCATTGCCGACTTCCTGTGGTGTGCAGGGTGTCTTGCTGAGAAGCTGGAATGGAGTTGGCCCAGCTGTAGGGCTCAGGGAGCAGGACTCCATCTTGCTCCCCATGTCTCCAGCAGGTGTGGCAGGCTGCAGATTGTTTTGTACCTGCTTGGGGTGCTGACTTGTCTCTCAGGGGTCCTGGTGGTGTCCCTTTTCTGTAGAGATACCAGGCTGGGCCTTAGGGAGGACTGCCTTAACAAAGATAAAAGCATCAGTGTGATATTGGGCTCAGACATAGCTCCTGTATTCCCACATCTCTCTGCAACTATGGGTGTGCATGCATGAACCAGATTAACCCATCAGACAGGGTGGGGACACTGAGTGCCAACGTTCTCCACCCCTTGTGACTGGCTTGCAGGCCATATAATTAATGCTTAGTAGATTAGGCTGGATTCAGAGCCACTTGCCAGAGGGAAGGAGCAGCCATCAGTGAGCTAGGATTACTGGGCTGTGGATCTGCATGGTTTGTGGCCTGCTGGGAGCCTAGAAAATGGGGCCTTCTGTGTGTATGTGTGTGTGTGTATGTATGCACAACCTGTATGTGCACACTCATGTGTGTCTTCCACACAAGGCTTCATACCAGAGCATTCTGCAGCCACAAACCCTCAGGCGACTTGGGTGAATCCACTCTGTGTAGGAACTTCTCTGCCACTGAGGAAGAGGAGGGTGCAGGGGACCACATAAGAGCTGGTGGGGGGAGCAAAAGGTGAGAAGAGCTAAGAAGGCAGTAGATTCCTGGGCATGTGGGACAAGTGGATTGTTGACTGATGTACTCTCGTGGGACCCATGGCCCCTGTGGCTGGCATCGTGGGGGCTCTGGCTCAACTGAGCCATTGCCTACCCCACAATATGGCACTGTGTGACCTTGAAAAGTTTTGTTCATTTCTCTGTGCTAGTTTCCTTATCTGTGAAACATGGACACTTTCAAAACTGACAGCATGGAAACAGTGCAAAACTCCAGAGATATTTTTATTAATTTATTTTTTAAATTGACACATAGTAGTTGTATATATTTATGGAGTATAATGTGGCATTTCAGTACATATGTGCAATGTGTAATAATGAAATCAGAATATTTGGTATATATATATATATATATAGCATCTCAAACATTTACTATTTCTTTGTGGTGGGAATATTCAAAATCTTTTCTGTTAGCTAATTTGGAATATACAATTAAATGCTGTCAACCGTAGTTACCTTAGGGCGCTACAGAGCATTAGGAGCTATTCTTCTTGTCCAACTACACCCCTCAACCTATTAACCTTTCTCATCCTCCACACTTCTCAGGCTCTGATAATCATTATTCTATTCTCTACTTTTTGGAGATCAACTTTAACATCCACATAACAGACATATGGCACTGTGTAGCCTGAGCTACAATGCCAAAAAATACTGGCCCTGTCCACCTTCAGTCCTCTAAGGCCTCAGATTCCCTTTGCCAATAGATCCCCTTGTCATTTTCAAAACTGGCTGTGCGAGGCTGCTTGGGCCCAAGAGGACCTTTCCCCGACACCCACCACCAACCCTGGCAGGGTGACCACTCCATTAGGCAGTAATTTCAGGGGAATCATCCCAAGAACAAATGGAAAATACTTAGGTTCAAAGAGAGACAGGAATTTCAATCCTCAGGCCTTGAAACATGAATACTGACAGGATCTCACCAGGGTGGAGGCCCAGAACCTGCCTGGTCCATCAGCTCTGGGCCTGTAGACCACATGCGATGCACACTTCCTGCCCACCTCCTTTTTCTTAGTGTGTGGTGGCATCATTCTCCCTAGACTTCAGAGGAAATCTGGCTCTGCCTTTTGTGTGTGGTCTTGACCAATTACTTAGCTCCTCTGGACCTCTGTTTCTCCACCAAGGGTTTGTGATGGCAACACCGCCATCTTAGAGGGCCACAAGGGGTCACTCACAACTATTGGTGCTCACCACAAGGGCATCTTTGCTAAAAATGCTACACAGGCTGGCTTTGCCCTCACATCTCTGGGACACAGTAGGACAGAGAAGGCACAAAAAGTCTGGGCCATCCTGAACTCCACACTGGGAGAATCAGGAGGGAGTTTACCTGAGATGCCTTGTTCTCATCCATGTTCGCCCTTTCTTGAATGATCTTTGCTCCTTCTTTCAGACTTGTGGAAAGGACCCTGCTCCCCAGATAGTCCTCCCTCACCACGTCCTCCAATATCTGCTCCTGCACTGGCTGAAGCTGCACGCCTCACCTATGGTAAAGATGTGGGAAGGGGTTCTGATGAAGCACATCTCCCCCAGGAGTAATCATAATGCCAGGGGAGAGACCCTGCCGTCCTGCCTCTTCTGCTTCTGCTGTGCTCCTTGAATGTCCTGTAGTACTTCTGTGGACTCAATTACAAATCTAATTGTCCCCAGGCCAGGAGTGGGCAGAGGCCTTCTCAGCCCAGGCGTGTTGGGTGGATGCTCCTGACACTGCAAGGCTGAGGTGGGGTCCAGGTGCCCTCTACTCTCTAGCTCTGCAGAGCACCCACACAGGCCCTTGTTTTTCAAGATAGATTCCCTGAGAGAAGGAAACTTGTCAATGATAACCTATGAGTAAAAATGTGGCCAGGAGCTAAATCCTTCTATTAGCCTGCAACAGGAGTGACAAGCAAAAGCTCCACTGAAAGTGGAGGGTGTAACTCTGGGATGAATGAGCTGCTGAGTGCAATAAAGAGGCTGCCTTCCGTTGAGAGCAATTTTATGACTGAAAAGTACATAAAGCAATCTCCTCAGGGGAACACATCACTCTGGTCCTACATGCCCTTCCTCACCTACCCCAGGCTGCCCTCTCTCTAAAGAGAATTTGAGAGACACCCAGGGCCAGTGCTCTGTGCCTGTTTGCGTAGGCTGGATTTGTCCTGCTGTGACAGATTTGTGGGGCAGCAGTGGCACTGCTTCTCCCTGTTTGGTCATCCTCGGCCCCGGATGTCTGCTCCATCCCCACCCTTGTCTTAGTGGGAACATCCCTGCTAACAAGTGGGGCTAACTGGGCCATGTGCGGACTGACAGGGGAGGCATACAGCACATGCTAGTGGCTCAGGATGCCCCTTTGGAAATCTAATCTAGGTTTTTTGCTTCATCTTGATAGCCTGAGGATCATGGAGACCTCTAGGAAGCTGGACATAAACTAAAACTGTGTGCATGTGTGTGTGGTGGAGTAGGGTGGGTGCTGTAAACATGTTTAAACCTTAGAAGGACAAGCTATCAAGCCTCCCACACCCCAAGGTAACAGTGACAATGCATGACCTTATCGTGAAGCGCTGACAGCATGAAGGCGACAGGCATGTTATCTCACAAAGCCCACATTGCCCTGCAGAGTGTGGATGAGAGCAGGAAGGTGGAGAACTGAAGCTCAGGCAGGTTATGTGCCTTGACCAAAGTGACATTTTAAGAGGGTTTGGGGTCAGTAAGAAGCCAGCTGCCCCATACATGCAGGGTTCCTGTTGCTGTCCCTCCCAGGTCAGCATCAGGACAAGATACTCACTGTGGCATCAGAATGAGGCTTAGGGCTCAGAGTTGGCAGCAGGTGGCTGCAAGATGACAGATTCCCCCAGAAGGAGCCCAGTCACTCGGCTTCTCCCTCAGGCAACCGACAGCCATGGCTACCAACTCAACAAGGATGATGGACACAGGGCTCTGGGGCTTCTGGCAGCAATACAGCGTCCCTCAGCAACTGGCCACATCACCTGACCAGGTGCAGGAGTGGGCAGAAGAAGTCTCCACCCACAGCACACTCATCATGTCACAACTGGCTGTGCATGTACACAGCAAGGACGAAGTGCAGGGCCTGATATGGCCACTCCTTGGTGCCAGGTATTTTTATGCACATTATTCTGTTCTCAGAAACCCTACTGAACATGAGGAAATTGAGGTGAATATGGAATCACTTAATTTCCCAAGGCCACCTAGCAAATAAATGGTGGGATGCAGGTATATCACACTCCAAATCCTGTGTTATTTTCAACCTTACATCACTGGTTTCCTGGGTAGACTTCCTGTTTTTCTCCTGGGAGGAACTGACGGCACTGTCTTAATGAGCACATCAGCCCTTGCCATTGTGATCCCTGTGTCTCCATCACTCCTCATAACCCTCGTCCCATCTGTCAGTGCTCCCACCCTCACCACCACCACCATCGCCGTCACCGTCACCACGGCATCAGCATGCTGCTTCTGCACTAAAAACTGCATGGTTTATCACTGTTCACGATTTCTGTGGCCGGGGATTTAGCTCAGTGGTTCAGTGGCCTGCCTTGCAAGCGCAAGGACCCAAGTTCAATCCCTGGTACCCCCCCCCAAAAAAAAAAAGATGTGGCTTAGATCTGAAATGTCCCTGAGAGTCCTGTGTGTTAAAGGCATGGTCCTCAGCCTGTGGCACTCTTTGGAGGTGGTAGAACTTCTAGGAAGTGGGGCTGAGTTGTGTGAAGTCAGGTCAGGGCGTGTTCCAGCCCCTTCATCTCTCTTTGTTCTCTGGCCATCATGCAGTGAGCAGACCTCCACCACACATTCCAGCTGTGGTACACTGTGCCATCTCAGGCCCAAGATGACAGGGCCAAGCGAGCATGGACTGAAACCTCTGAACCCATCATACAAAATGAACCTTTCACTTTAGTCAGTTGATTACCCCAGGCATTTTGTCACAGTGATGGAAAGCTAACAATATTTGTTGTAGTACACACACTGTTCTCCTCCCTCCCTCCTTCTTTAGTCCTCTGTGCTCCAGCTGTCTCATCTCTTTTCCACTCCTTAAAGTATGCATGAACTTTGTCACCTGAGGACATTGCACGCTTCACTTCTGCCCAGTGAGATGTTAGTTCCAATGGCTCTTGTTCTGGAAAATATCTCCCAACCCTTACAGTAAGGCTTAGCTCCCTTCTTTGGACTCATGGGCTGCCCTTTACTTCTCTTATGACATTTACTACAATTTATGTTAGTGTCTGCTTGTGTGATCCATGCCTAACTTTGCTGTCAGAATCCACTGTATGAAGCAACACTGAGTTGATGCTTCCCACAAGTGCTGCTCCCTCCCCCAGTGGCTGACACAAAATTCTAAT